GGGCTCGCCAGGGTCATACAGTGGGCTGGAGCCAGAAACAGAGGCCTGCCTAAAAAGGGGACCCTCCCAGCCACTTTGATTTGAAACATGGGACACCAGCTTACCTCTCTTCAGCCACAATGGCCTCATCCAGCTCTCGGGACAGCTTCTGGAGATGCTGGATTCCTGCCCCTACAGGCTCTAGGTCGCTGTCAGATTCACTGAGCAGAAAGAAAAGCCACCAGTGACTAGTTGGAAACCTGTGGCCAGAGCCCCTCCCAACCCAGCATTGCAGCCTGGGGTCGGTGGGGGCTGGTCATCCTCCCAGACCCTCATTCTAGGAATTGACATCAGAGCAACTTTGAGCAGCTGGCAGAGAACAGATGGATCAAGGCTCATAAGGTCAAGGGCAGGTGATCCTGCAAAAAGGTAAGCCTTGCTGTTCCCCACTGAGCCTCAGCCTCCAGATGGCTTCAAAACGGGCTTTTAGGCTCATTAGGAGGCTTGGGAGACTGTGACACAAGCAGAGCTAAGCTCACCTCTTCTTTTTATAGATGAGGAAACTAAGGTGCTGAAAGACTTCCCCAGATCCCTGGCTAGTGTGGCGCAGAGCTGGGCCAGAACATGGATGTGACTCAGCTCAGGGTGCCCCTGGCTCTAGGGAGCCCCTGGGGCCCGTTAGTGTTTTGGGGATAAGGCATTCTTCCACTTACCTGGGGGAGCAAAGGGGCTCTGTAGAGGAGTAGGGGCTCCGGAAGGCAGCCTCCCTCCTGGACCTCCGCAGTGGGTGGGCATGTGGGCCCTTTTGGGTTGAGAGGCGGTGACGCTCCCTCTCCCAGGGGCCCAGAGTTGAGCGGGTAGGGGTGGTTCCAGACAGCCGGGTGCTCCTCTGGCTCAGGCTGCGAGCTGGGGGGCTACTGCCCTTCTGGGTCTCTCTCTTCCTCCTCCTGGCTTTCACCTGGGTTTCCACCAGCCACTTGGTGCCACTTTGGCAGGACTCCTGGATTCTCTGACAGGTACATGGAAATGTGAGCACAGAGCAGTCAAGGGTGGGCCACCCTGGTCTCCAAGCCATACCTCCGACCCCTCCACCTATCAGCTGTCCTACACACACAGACAGCTTTCAGTCTCAAGGGTGAGGGATATGGTTGATGCCATGTGACATGGGTCCACTGCAGGGACCCAGCTCGGGGCCCCCAGGGTATGAGTGCAGTGGTCAGCAGCAGAACCAGAACCACTCTGGTGCACAGAGCCTCCATTCGCCTTAGTCCAAACTCTCCTTCAGACACAGACTGATCCAGGGACTCAAGAGCAAAGCCTGCCCCCCAGGATACTGCAACATAATGTGTCCTCCTGCTTCTGGTGTCACTCTGTTCCATACTCCAGACCGACGCACAGAAATCCTTCTCAAGGCGACTCCTGATCATGACACTCAGCTGCTCAATACCCTTCTAAGGCTGCTCATTGCCCACAGGGCCAAGCGCTAACTCTTGGGCTTTCCATACCGCTGGGGGACGGCTGTGGAAGCTCTTCCTCAGCTAGACTGCCTTTGCCTCGGCAAACCAGAGTCCAGGGTCGTTAGAGCGAGACCCGAGTTACATTTGGTGAGTGCTGTGCCCTTGGGCAGGCTATCTCGGTTCACTTCTGATCCCCGGGGACAAAGCAACCAGGGTTCTTCTATACAAGGACTAACATTTGGCTCAGAGGCCTCTCTACAAAGGGTCCAGAAACATCTTCCTTCTCCCATATCTTCAGATTCCCAATCAGATACCGAGGAGCACCCCCTCCTACCCTCAGTTCTCTCCCTGGAGGTCTATTCACTCTCATGGCCTCTGTCCTTCCTAGGTGACACCTCCATACATCTCCAACTGCAGGTCTGAAGACACATCTACTTGGAAGGCCCATGGGCACCTCACACCCAACATAAGTGACATCTTCCTGCCCATACATCTCATCTGACACCAAACCCTCTCAAATCTACCTTCTGAGCAGCTCTTGAAATTGTTCACTCGTTTGCAAGGCCAGACCCTCAGATCCCCCTCGTGGGAGAATCTGCTTCTACCCCCTTTTCCACCAAGTAGCTAAAGATCAAGGTCTAATATGCTAATTAGATCTGATTCCCACCCCATTGTAAATTCTTCCCACTGGCTCCTGAGACTACCAGTCTCTCTGGGGAGTGTCTAATCACCTTTAGCATACTGGACCCCCTTCTCACTACCCTACCTTGCTCTCTGGCGATACCCAGACTAAGCTCCTGCCAGCTCTCTTCAGCTTTTGCTCAGGATCTGGACTCATACCGTTTCACCTGTCTTATATGCTCCTTTCTTCCTCTTTCGTGGGTGAATTCCATGGAATCACCTCCTCCAGGAAGCCTTCACTGACTAAGCTTGTTTTTGGTGTCCTCCCATCATTAGCTACTACCTTGTGGTTTCCATCACAACACAGCTCTATCATCTTGTATTGTGAGGATGTTTCCTCCATGACACTTTCCATTCACTCACTCAACTATTTGTTGAGCACCTACTATGTGCCAGGAACTGTTTGGGTGGTGCTGGGGACACAGCAATGAACAAATCAAAGCCCTTGTCTTCGTGGAGTCTATATTCTTGGGGGCTCCTTAGGGCAGCAGCTGACCAGGACATGGTTGGCATTACCTGGGACATGGCGCCCAAGGCGGTCTTAGCTGAGCGAGCTGCAGCCTGGAGGCCCTGCTGCCCTGGCTCTGGGGTTTCTAGGCGTTTCCAGGAAGGGCCTGCCCCTAGGTTGAGGCTGACTGCTCTCAGGGGCAGCCTCCTTTGGAACTGTCTGCAGAGGGAGCCCAGGGCTCCGCTGGAGGCCTCCAGTTGGCCAATTGCAGGCTGCAGCACCTCGCTCTCCTCCAGCTGCTCCTGGTCCTGGAGAGATCTCCTGCGCATGGAGGCGCTCACGCCAGGCCACCGAGAGGCCATCTGCCAGGCCAAGAGTCTATTCTGTCCACCAGACCCTGCGAAGGATGTCAAAAGGCAAGTCAGTCGGTAAAGAACAAGTTCTAATATGCTAATTAGACCTGATCCTACATCCCATTCCCAGGCTCCACAGAGACCCTGGGTACAAGGGAAGAGATGGGAT